ACATCTCCATTCTAAGAATCATGTGTGAATTGAGATTAAAGAAAAATGGTCCTATTTATTATTAGTTCTAAGGTGTCAGCTCCTATTGCCAAATATTGCTTTTAACATAAATATTAACTAACTTCCTACAGTGTTAGTAGTAAAACGAATCCATAGGTCTTATGTACATTTGGTAGTGGGAAAATAAATCTCTTTTAAATATCCATTCCAAATGAATGGATATTATTGATTTGTGGATTATAAGCATACACTTTTTTTTTCTTTTTCCTTGATGCTCAAGAAACTGAAATCTATAATTATAAGCATACACTTTTAATAATGAAGATGGCCCCCATCTCTATAAACTATAAAGCCCACAGGTTATAAAACTGCAAAACCCACTTCTTATTTCTGCTTTTAAGAACAATTTTTTTTTTCTCTCTTTCAACACATTACTCACAGAAACTGTCATGTTGTCCAATTTCGTGGAGGGAAGTCCACAAATTCTAAAAACAACAAGATTTCCACAGGATTTACTTTGGTTTACTCTGTGTCCACAAGAGTGATTCAATATGAAGTTATAGGAATAGATTGTGCTGGAATCCAGCCATCTTGAAATGAACCATGTGACCCTTCACCAAACTCTTCTGGCCTTAGCCCCAAAGGGCCACACGATGGCGTTGTTTCTGGAAAGGAATTTCAGACTACAGTCCGGTTCTGTGAATTTTCCTAGCCCAGCAGGATGGAACACCCACGTATTGAAGGCCAGAACACTAACACAGCTGTGGAACTTTCCATTTCTCGGAATGCCAGGTGAGGGTCTATTTCCCAACAATGAGCAGCTGCCCAATTAGGGACAGAGACCAAGAGAACCAAAGGATTCTTGTTCTGCTCTGTTGTCACCTACAGCCACCCCCCAGGTGGACTCTGTTGTCTCCTTCCCCACTTCCTACACACTCAACTGGAAAGGTAGCACAGTCCTGTGAATTCATGGGCAAAGCATGTGTGTGGCATGCTTCAGGGAGGAGAAGATAAAGCGATTTGTAACAGGAGGCAATTCCACAAAGTAGTATGAAATGGACAGTGCACTTTCATGTTGACTTTAGAGGAGATTCATATCTCTTGCTTTTTGGACTCAGACCTGTTGCTGCTGCTTATTTTGTCTGAGTAGGATTTTCCAACTGCCAGAATTAACATGTTAATTGAGCTAAATCACAGAAGCTCAATCTGTAGTATCTCCACAGTTTCCATTCTTTTTTTTTTTTCCCAAGACAGAGTCTCACTCTATTGCCCAGGCTAGAGTGCAGTAGTGCAATCATAGCTCACAGCAACCTCAAATTCCTGGGCTCAGGAGATCCTCCTGCCTCAGCCTCCCGAGTAGCTGGAACTACAAGCATGTGCCACCATGCCTGACTGTATATACATATTATATATATGTATATATACACACACATATATATGTATATATATATATATATACACACACACATATATATATTTAGTTGTCCAGATAATTTCTATTTTTTTTAGGAGAGACGGGGTCTCACTCTTGCTCAGGCTGGTCTCGAACTCCTGAGGTCAAGCGATCCTCCCGCCTCGGCCTCCCAGAGTGCTAGGATTACAGGTGTCAGCCTCTGTACTCCTGGGTTCTTAAAACAACTTATGTATATATTAAAAAATGAATTTGAAGAGCCTGGGTTTTCTTTCCTCTCTTCTCAAACCTTTTTTTCTATGGAGTTCTGGCAAATTCTTTCACCTATCTGGATCTCGGGTTACTTGATGGAGTTCATCTGGATTCTTTTTAAGGTCAATTTCAGCTCTAACATTCTGCG